CTGTATCGCTGGTTATGTAAATGACAATTCATGAAACCTGTCTCTGTTTTCTTCAACAGGAGCAATAACTGCACGTCACCAAGGGACTGTCTCTTTTTTTTTTTCCCAAAGTGTTTGTTTTTGTTTTGATTATGGGTGCGTCACCATTTGCACTGTTCTACAGTCAGACTCTTGTCTCCCTGTTGACATCCTTCCTTGTATGACTGTATGATTTGTATATGCCCTATAAGGACGGTCTGTGTTTATTTAATAAAATAATTATTAAAAAAAGAGTTGTGGGTTAATAATAAGCTGTTCCATACATGCTTTGTAAGGTATGTAATTGTGTACAAATCATGTTTAACCAAGTGGTACAGAGATGAGGATTGTGTAATACGTTACATCAGCTAGATTATACTTCATACACTCTGAGGAGTAATAATGACACTTGAAGAGGGGTAGGGGGTTAGGAGTCAAGTGTTAATGCAGTTTTGAAAAAGGTGCTTGAAGTAATTTTTCTGAAAACTGTCAGAGAAGAAGGCTGAGGCAGGGATGTAAAAGCAGTCCTATAAGGCTATTCAAATGTTCCTGTTAGGAAATGAAGGATTCTGGGGTTGTCTCGTCATCTCTGTGCATTGAGAATAACAAGATGACGTAAAGTGGTTATTGTTATATAATAGGGAATTTCTTCACTAATGGTATAATGTGTGAGTCATTCAAAACAAACAAAAATATGCTGAAATATTACAATGCATTACTGAGAAACTGGCAGATTAAAATGCAATCAGTGTTATCATTCAAATACAGCTGATCCATGTTTTACGTATTATTGGTTTTAAACAGTCATCTCCCTATAAATGATGGATCAATCACAATCACTGCAAAGTAACTTGTAACTAAGGCTGATAATTAAACACTTTGGTGGTGACTGTGGTGGTGGAGTAGTGTCAAAATATATGTATATAGTGCATATGAGAAAAGAAAATCAAGGCGTGACGGACATTTTTAAAATTGTTATTCCAGAGTAGTTAAAAACACCATGTCCAAACAAGGGAGAAAAAAATCTAAACAAAACACCCACACTAGTTCCTATGATTTAGAATTAGCATATCTTGGCTGTGATTGTGCATGGTTATGCATTAACAGCTCAATGCTCTGACACGCTCCTTCTCAGTAGCTGTGCGCTCAGGCTGGGAGGCACGCTGGAGTGGCCGACACAGGGATTAACAGGACCGAGCGTTACATGGCCGTGATACCTGTAGAGCACTCGCGAACAGAGCGGTGCTTACAAATGACTGCTGCACAATTTTCTGCTGCTTTTTGCTGCCTTGCTGTGTTTCCCAGAATAAAACGGACTTGTGTAAGGCAGCAGAGCTCAGCAAGGCACAGCAAAGGACTTGCGAGAGACAGATCCACTTCTGTGAGGTGAGGTATAATTTTGAGAATTGATCCTTGTTCTCTTCATCTTCAGTGAGCCTGCTCTCATATGCCGATTCAAGGCTTTTCTGTTTTTGTGCCCTCCTCCGGAGCCTGTCATCATTGTGACATGCTGCTTCGAAACCCTCTTGTCAGCTATCGAACGGCTCATTCTGGCTCTTAGCTGTGGATGAGACAGGGACACTGGCCAGGATGGAGAGATGAGTGAAACTGTGCTGGGGATTTGGATCACTATATTGGTGGGTGTGGAAGTAAGTCCAGGACACCTGGATGTATTTCTGGATGGAGATTTTTATCCATGGAGAACAGTTCAGTTAACCCTGATTTCTCAGCACAAGACCTCAGTGGCTTTCCATTCAACGATGTCCCTGAAATGTGAGCTTTTGCTGCAAAGGAGAACTGGTTAAGGTCTGTAACATCTAGTGCTGCCTGAAGAGCTCGTTCACTGACTTCTGCCAGCAGGTGCCATGGCTGACTCTCACTTGTCTGGGACCTTAGGGAGCTACAACGGCAGCTCCACCAGCGCCTGGAACATCACCGGCAGCGGCCCTTGGTTGTTAGCTTTTATGCTGACCATCATCATCCTAATGACCATCTGTGGCAACATGTTGCTCATTGCGTTGGTGTTTGCCCATCGCTCTCTGCGCTGCACCTCAAACTGCTTCCTGGTGTCTCTGTTCTTCTCCGATCTAATGGTGGCATTGGTGGTCATGCCCCCAGCTATGCTCAACGTTCTGTGCGGGGCCTGGGTGCTGTGGCCTGCGTTTTGCCCGGTTTGGCTTTGCTTTGATGTGATGTGCTGCAGCGCGTCCATCCTGAACCTGTGCTTGATCAGCCTGGACCGCTACCTCTTCATCATCTCGCCCCTGCGCTATAAGCAGAGGATGACCCCGCCTCGGGCGTTAATCCTTGTAGGGGCTGCTTGGGGGCTAGCAGCGTTGGCTTCCTTCCTGCCCATTCAGATGAAATGGCACAGCTTGGGCCACAGGAGCGGACACTCATCTGTTCTTGGGGTCAGCACTGGGAACATCAGCTCCTACTCTGACAAACTGTACCCAGAATCCTACTTTCAGCTGTCACCTTCAGGTGGCCTTTCTTTCCAGTGTCGTCTGCGGGTGACCCTGCCCTTTGCTCTGGTGGCATCTGTGCTCACCTTCTTTCTGCCCTCCAGTGCCATTTGTTTCACCTACTGCCGGATCCTTCTGGTGGCACGCAGGCAGGCGAAGAGGGTGGCGGCGCTGAGCCACCCGCCTCACCCGCACCCTTCTCTCGGAGAACCCTCCCGGCCTCCTTCGCCAGGCATTGCAGCAGGGCAAGCTCAGCAGGACGGAGATGACTGCAGCCATTTGGAGCCTCCTGTGTCACAAAACATGCCGGTAAGAAAAAGAGACACCAAACAGTTAAATGTAACAGAGCGAAGGCTGTCAGTGCAAAAAGCACAGAAAAGGATGAATGGATGAAAAGGATAAGCCTAAAGCCTTACCTATGAATCTATTGACATGAAACTCTCTCGGCATAGTAAGGACATTGTGGTGATGTTAAAGACTGTTGCTAAGAGGTGGAAAGTGTCCTTGAATGTGAACATTTAAAGAGCAGGATTCAAATCAATGGTAGGAATGCAGCTCAAACGTGTCCTTATTTTATTCGATTTTTACTGGCTATGTCTTTTATGAAATTAAAACTGTGAAAAAGAAGAGAGGAAGTACACAGTGTTAAAAATAATTCTGCAGATAGTAAATGAACTGAAAACAAGTTTGCTCTTTAGCGACTCAGGTGAAAGGAGCAAGGCATCAAGCCTTTAAAATCAGCATCTTCACTGTATCCTCCATATCATGTATCAGCTTGTTCCAGCTCTTGGATGCAAACCTCTGAGGAGCTCGGTGATATTTAACTACACAGTCTCTGTTTATAATGACTGAAATGACAGTACAGTATACAGTATTCTTAAGATGAAGTGAATAAATATGTTTCCGCAAACTCTGAAAATTATTTTGATTTGACAAAAAGGAAGAACTCAAGCAAAACCACTAATCAAACAAATACAATGGTGTGCAAAAGTCTTGAGCCAGCACTCATTTCTTTATAATTTGCTTCCAAGGAGCCAGACTTTCTTTAGACTTTCTGAAGGACTTTCAAAGTTTTTCTCATTGCTTCCTTTTTCGCTCATTTACAGTCCATTTTTTGTGCCTTACCATTTTTAGGAATGTAATTTTGTTTGTTAAGCGACTTGCATCAGTAGCAACAGATGTAATGGAGTGATGAGTCCAGAGAAAGCTGGAGGCTCTGTCATGGTTTGGTACTGCATTTTATACTTGGTTTGGGATACTTTGTCAACACGGATGGAATAATGAACATAGAAAAGTGTTGTCAGATTTTGTTTCACCATGCATGACAGCATGACAATGATCCCAAACACACTACCAATGCAGTAAAAGCATGCCTGGATAGAAAAACACACAATGGAACACTACCAGTCATGGATTGGCCTCCCCAGAGCCCGAACCTCAACATTACTGCAGCAGTGTGGGATGATCTAGAGAGAAAGGACAGCAACATCTAAAGTAGAACTTTGATTGTCCTTCAAGAAGCCTGGAGAAAACTTGGCTTAGAAAGCTCAGCTGTGTTGAAGAATAAAGATGGTCATGCCAAATACTGCCTTTCAAAGTAATCAGAAGTTTGCCTTTTAAATTATTTTCTTGCATGTTTGCACTTTTCAATTAATTGGAGCACATATTGACAGTTTTTATGCCAAAGTATTTTTAAATATGAGATGTGGCTCAAGACTTTTGGACAAACTGCAAAGGGAGCCAAAATGGATTTGAATAACTAATGCCAAAGAGGATTTACATGATATCAGTGCTTGTTGAGATTAAGGATCTGTATTATACCCACCTGTCCACAGCCGTCAGTGAACAGCGAGCGTCGCCTGGCTCACAGGCAGGGTCGGAGGGCACTCAAGGCCAGTCTGACTCTGGGAGTCCTCTTGGGACTCTTCTTCAGTGCTTGGCTGCCTTTCTTCATCACCAACATGGCAGAGGTCAGTAGGAGTACCGGAGGCTGTCTCCATCACTAATGACACAGAGATGTCATAGAGGAAAAAAATGCATCTGCTACATAAACATATGTAAAGGAATTATTAAATAGTTTGTGATCAGATGAGCTAGAAAAGAAAAATAATTTCATTCAATCCACGTTGGCTTCACATATATGCAACATCCCTGAGCATCTTAGTCTTTATTAAGACTCAGTGCATCTATCTCAGTGATTCAGAGGTACTCTCACAATTTTATAAACATGGTGGGCACGAAAAGAGTGTGAAATACATGAAAAAAAGAAGAAAAAAAGAGAGAAAAAAAACACTTGGATACTGATCTATTTTTGTGTTGGCCAGCCTTGGCGTCACAGCCTTGCCAGGCGATCTAACGAGGAAATAGATTGGCATTTCAGCTTTGTGTGGCTGACTCATTCCTAAAGCCTCGAAAACAGCCTACAAAAGTACCATTTATAATTGGTACTCTTTTCAAAGTGATTTCAATCTGATTAGACTGAATGAATATACACACTTATTACTCAGCAAACAAACAAGGAGGACCCCGAAAAACCTCGCCGAGAGTAAACGAATGTCAGAAAACAGCTTAATCTAAATTGGTAATGACACTTGTCCTGTTTTTTTCAAGCTTTCAGTGATCCAGTCATTTTGATTTCCCATCTGTGCCCTCTCACTTCTCCCCTGCATAACACAGAGCACAGAGACTTGACTGTGCCTGCGCTCTCCTTTCTTTTTCGCACTCAATGTGGTGTGTGAAACAAACTCCCCCCATTTCTGTCCCATTCCCACCGCCTCCCTGCCTCATCTTGATAGTATTGGAAGCTCTCCTCTAACAGCTGTCCCCTTCTTCACTGTCGCTCCCCAAACCTACTGGTTATTTTCAAGATCAGTTTTCTTAACAGCCAGACAGAGGAAAAAAACGATGCATCTATGTACCGACTTCTCAAAGTAAATAAATCATACATCTAGGGCTGCACACATATAGAGTGTTTTTAGGGTAAAACGCATGACATTGAGTCGATTTTAAAAATGTCAATTAGTTGAATTAATTACATCTATTGAAAAATGTATGTGCAATACGTGTGCAGTATGTGTGCGCATGTATTATTAATTTTCTATGTAAATGTAATTTTAATTCATTTTATTTCAACAATTTCATAATAAACAAATAAATGTGGGCTGTAAATTAGGTCAATAAAAATATACAACTTGGCAAAAAAATGTGCTTATTAAACTAATAAACATTCAATAGATGTTATAATGTAATAAAGCTAATACACAAGCATGTTCTTTCATTCACTGCCCGTTGTTTATAGTCTTCTACTTCCTTAGCTTTGTGTTACATTGTAATGTTTGTTGATGCATTATCATCTGTGTCTGTGCACACATCTGTGCATTTACTTCAAGAGATTCGTTTTTTCCTAATGTTTTACTAATTCTTTCTTATATTTAGGTACAATCTGGCAGTACTGGTGCATTTAACAACTAAATCAATCTTTTATGAGTACAATTTTGCACTAGTTGCAGCATGTGGCAGTGCATATTTGTGTCATCTAATAGCTGTTATTCATTTTCTCCATTTATGTTTTATGTGTTTTTGTATTGAACTTTTTCTCTTACATTAAGTTGTTAAACCCTAACGCCTGGATTGCCTTGTCACCATCCTCATCCAGGCAGTGTGTGAGTGCGTCCCCCTTGCGCTCTTTGATGCCATAACCTGGCTGGGCTACTGCAACAGTACGATCAACCCCATCATCTACCCGCTGTTCATGAGAGACTTCAAGCGAGCTCTGGGGAAGCTGTTGCCCTGCTGTTCTTCGCGGTCGCCCCGAAGACCCTCACCGGCGCTCTCGCTCTCTCTGCGTAACTCGGGAGAGCCCAACATTGCCAGCAACCCACCCTCACCTCTGGCTTCTGACCCCACGCACCCGCCCGCCACCGCCACTGATGCTGTCAATCTGCTGGATGCCGAGCACGCTGGGCTTGAGTTGCCTCTCCTTCTCCCCAACCAGGTTGACACTTTGGACTGAATAGTACTTAAAGATAGCTTATAGGGTATATCAGGGTTTACAGTGGAAAAGCGCGACAGCTGGTAACAATCTGACTTATTCACTGTGAGGCTTGGGCTGAAGAGACATTGAAAAAGAATCTATTTATTTTATGCTCACATTCTGTTAGGTCTACTCGCTCTCAGCCAGTGTCAGGGTCAACAATATTTCCAATTGTCAGTGCCAGTGGAGAATGCAATTCTATAGTAAGCTGTGAATCACTACTGTGAGAGTCTTATAGAACAGGACAGGAAAAAAGCCTCATAGAGAAGACATATTTGTGGAATCACTGCTATCTATATGGAATCACACTATATATAATATCCCAAACCAAGCAAATAGAAACTATTTCAACCGGAAACACACAAAACATGACTGCTTTTTAATACTCACAGCACATTTGTAAAATAAATTATGACCATATTTACATTTTTATAAAAAAAAAAGTTATCTACAATAACCAAAATTATCATTCAATCAATACATCTAAACCCGTGTTTAAGCAGTCAAACAAAACACTTCATTTGGGGGATTTTCACTAGAAGCTGCCGTATGTGTGTGTCGATTCTTGTGCAGTCTCTTTCGTGTCACTTTGTTGAGAATGGAATGAATATTTTCTCCAATAACAAAAAAACAAAAAAACAAAAATCCAAACAAACAAACTTGAGAAGAGTTTACAAGGAAGCAGCCGGTCCAGTAACATGCTCTTTACAAGTTTGGCCGCCTTCACTTGTGCGAGTTCTCTGTAGTCCAGTGTGTGTCATCCCAGCTCCATGATATGTGTTCATTATCCCGGTCGTCCTTGTCTACACCGTCACACCGGACATTCACATCAGTGGCTGTGATGTTATTAGGAGCCTTCTCGTCTGAAATACGAGGTGAATTTTTCTGCGGTGACATTTTGCTGTCTGATTCTGTATCGTTTAATGAGTCCAGCAGATCTGAAATATCAGGGATATCCCAACCGTCAGCAGTCTCCTCCGTCTCTGCCAACTCTTTGGCATCTCTGCTTTGTTGCGTCTCAGGCTTCTCAGTGTGGTTTTGTGTCTCGGCCGCTTGTCGCTCATTGGTGGTTTGGCCAGCGATGTCCACCGTCCCCTTTGCCACTGTTACATATTGAGGAATTGCAAAAGAGGTTCCCGGCACTTCTTTAGTGGGAACTCCTACTGCTACCAAGATGGTGTCCATCTGACGCATGTAGTCCAAGTGACCTTTAACCTAGGAGGCAGGAATACAGTGCTATTATCCATGATTAAAACCCCATTCGTATTTTTTGTTCTTTTAAAGAAACATTTAGGCACTAATGTGTTATTTTGTACGATTCATTTATCCTGTTCTCCTCATTACATGACCGGGTATGTGCTGTATGGTGCTTCAGACATGTCAGGTATCTTTTTACTGCTGTGGTTTAAACCTTTACTCGAGTAACATGTGAAACCTCTAATGCTTTACTTGGAGCTACTACAGATGATGAGTAGTTGTGTTGACTTGAATGTTAGTAGAAAATCATTGCTGTGATGTGAAACAGACCAGCGGGGGCCTTGTTTTTCATAAATTTCAGCTATATTTAAACAAAACAACTCTTTCTTTTAATATGCTAATAAAACAGTATTTAATATTGCTGCCTCACTTACAGAAACCTAAATCTTATTGGAAAACCTTCAATTTTTGTATTAAGTATTAAATAAATGTTTCTTCCAGAAGTAAGATGTAAAGTTGCAGTGATCCATCGTCTCAAATACCTGTCTGTAACAGTTTTGCTCTGTTTATTCCTTTAATCCCTACTCCTAAAAGACCCCTTTTAACTTATTTTTTTTTGGTTTCAGACCCAATAGCTCAGTCATACATAGTGCACACTGGTTCTCAGGTTTCTTTTCCACTAATGTAAGCTCTTTATTTATTGTTTTCAGCCAAGTACTAACTGACAAGCCACAGTGGTTAACTCCACATGATCTGGATTTGGCAGACATTTTAACACCAGGTGCTTTTCCTGATAAAACCCCAACAGGATTTGTGTCTCTCCTGGGATTAAACTGGAGATCTTTTGCTTGTTAGTCAGTTGTGTAAACCACGACACCATGAGCTTTTAAATCTAGTAAAAAATATGTTTTTTTTAAATTGCAGTGATAAAATGAGGCACAGTGTTTCCCTTACCTTCCTCAGATCAGTTATTAGAGAGTAAAGGGGTCACACAAGGATCGCTGCTTTCTTTGTGTTTGCAGAAACACTGCTGCCATGTTTTGAACAAAAATCCTGATTCGTGATGTCACTGGATACTTAAGCTGAGAGCTTACAACAGTTGCTGCGTCCAGTTATTTTAGAAATGATCCATTACTGATGCATATTTTTATATTGACAATGAAGAAACCTTACCTTCTGTTGTACTCCAAAGTACCCTTAATGGTACTAGTACTCCAATGTGGGTAACAGCAGAAGACAGTTAGCGACTAGCTGGGGTGTATAGCAGGTTTAACAGGCTGAAAACTCTTGACTCTAACCCTGAACACTGAGGTCATTATATCTGAGAGGGGAAACTTTTCAATTAAATCTGACCGTGTTCACCCTGATCAACAATGGACCTCAGCGAGCAAGAGTCACCATGGCAACTGGTAAATAAAAAGCAGAGCCTCCATGTTAATCCAGTAGGGCCAGAAATACAATTGTATGCCAGTGCAGACCATGACATTTATTTAAAATTTTAAAAAAGCATGTCATCCACCAAGCCATTGTTTATCAGACTTGAAATTATGAAGTTTTAAACATAATCATTCAGCTGTTACTCTGATAACAGCAGCTCAAGATGGAAATCAAAAAGATTCGACAGAGTCAGACACAGGAATAATCAATTTGGTTATTAGTAGTGGAAGAGATGTCTGCATTTGATGTGAATGTTGAGATGTTGTTTTTAAATTTAAAGACTACATTTATTGAACTTTGATCTATTGATCAGTATCCTGTGTGTGTCTAAAGCTTCAAACTCCAGGAGCACACGTGGAGTTTAATTTAGCCTTCTTTCAGGAGCAGGAAACCCAGAGTTTCCAGTGAACCTGTTTTCCTGAACAGTCCCCAGGTGATCGCTGCGGTGTATTTGCTTTGCGCTTAAACATCCAGATGGTTCCCTCAGGAGTCAAAGGAGACGACACTCACGCTCTCTCTGTATCTGCTTAATGTGTAAATAGCAAGTGTTTTGTATAACAACTTTACAGGGTGAAAATATGTCAGTGTTGTGTTTGATGTGACAAAACTTATATAAGCTGTGGATTAGGGCTGTGCAAAAGCAAATCTGGAAACGCACAGCTACCTGATGTGATGGTTATGTGGTATGAAATCAAAAGTCAATGTTCCTTTTGAAATGTCATACATGAATATGGAAGAGTAGCTACAGATCTTTTGTCTGAATTTCTTCTCATGTAGGAATGAGCTACTTCATTTCCCTCTCATGAATTATTCAGGTGCTGCTTCTATTATTTCAAAAACATAAATTGACCCCCTACCAGACCAAATTTGAGACAATGCACTGCATGTGGTTTTTCTTGCTCTTTGAATACTTTAAAATTCCAGTTCCTTTACCTTCAGCCGTGTTTTAATTTACCAAGGTGTACTTCATCAGATTTCAAACACAGGCTCTGACTCACCACTGAGGAAAGATCCACATTGATTATGCGCTGATCCTGGATGTTGATTGGGTGCAGGCCAGCAACAGACAGCTGTGCAGCTGAACTTCGGTACAAGAATCCCAGGAGCCAGTCCCCTCTGATAGGTATGTAGATCAGAGAGTCCTTTATTCATGTAGTCATTGAAAAATACATCTTGCTGCTGTGACAGTCGTTTGCAAAGTTGCATGAGGAACATAAATGGACTCAGCTCACCTACTGGCTAAATAATTACTACAACAAAAGCATAAAGCATCTGCAAGCATTTACTGTTAAAAAAAAAGGTTTCATTTCTGGATTTTTAAATCAGGAACGCGCTCTTCCTTACCTGGAGTATCCGTTTACTATTTTTCCAGCTACTACTCTTGCCATTCTCTCCCAGGCCTTCTCAGATCCATCTACTGGGGCCCCCAGGAGGACCACATCCTCCACTACTCCTTCACTACCTGAGGATTCAAAAACAACACAGATGAATTTTTAGAGTCTGAAAAATGCGGGATACAAAGTAGAAATGTATCCATCATCATCCTCTAATTGCACCTCGGTCACTGGCGAGCTCCTGCAGGCAGTAATAGATAACTCGAGCTCCAAGACTGAAACCTATGAGGCTGACGGGCCGCTTCCCCTTCAAACACATGAAAGGAACGGTGAGTAGCTTTAATTTTCCTGCTGTTTAGTGAACACAGGCATATTCATAGTAAAGAAAAACAATTTAGAGAAGCAATGAATGTAGCGAATAACAGAGTCATCCTGGTTAATGTAATCCGGTGAACAGTGTGTACACAGGCACCACAGGTGAAGCGCACGCCATACAGCCTTCTTTCTTCTAAGGCTTTGAAATTCTACTGCATCGAGCAGATGAAAGGTGAGAAGTGATGTGGCGATAAGATTGTATTAACAAAGATACCAAATAAAAGGCTACCTGCTGTCGGCTTCTCAAAACCTGTGCCAGGTGTTTCCCCACCTCGGCGGAACGGTTCAGACAAACACACCAGGGGTTGTCGATGACGCTGGCTGCTGCCAGCAAAGACGCAGGCCACGTCAACGCCGTCACAATCCCTGATGGGAATTGTTAGAAAGCAGTCGAAACTGTAAAGGATGACTACTGGTTCCAAAGGTTACTCACATCCCATCAGCTCACATCAGATAACACCAACAAGAGCTTCTTGCACAGCGGTCCTACCTGACAGCACAGTGTACTTTAGGGCTTCCTGAGCCACCATGCTGACCAGCCCATCCAAGAGAGACGTCATGGCTGAGCCCAGATCCCTGAGGAAGCGTGACTCCCACACTAGGCAGTACTGTTCCCCACACTCGCCCAAACTGCAC